CTTTTTCTTTTTTTAGAGAAAAATGCTTATGTACTTTTCCGTTTTCCTTTCTCATGCACGTGTCATTTCTCGGAAACACACTGATACCTTACGGTTTTCTTCAGTATGCCTAATGAGCTGATTAAACCTTAGTTACGTAGCATTCGGTGACGTCAACATACAAGGTATTATCAAGTCAAAGTTTCAGCACTGGCTTAGGGCAGTCTGGCCCTGCTTCTCCCCTCACTCACCTTCTCCTCAGCCCTGCAAGTTCTGGCCCACCCTGGCTGCTGTACAAGTGAGTTGGACCAATTTGCTGATCCGAATTAAAGTGACCCTTGGAACAAAAATATTTTGAATTAGGAAGCTCTGTGAGCAATAAAAGCAATGCCGGAGAAACTGTGGGAAAATGCTGCTGAGGGGAGGGCGTGGTTTTACATCAGCTTAAGCTAACGGTAGTAATGCATCTGTATAGTAGTTTCATATGTTGAAAACAGTGAACAGACACTGGTTAGGTGTCAAGAATCGGAAGCAAACTAGGATTAATTTCAGGATTAATTTATGCAAATGCCACTAATATACATCTCTCCCTTTCCCCTCCTACCTTTTGCAGACTTTCTATCTCTGAATATGATCTAGTAACTGCTTAGATGGAAACTTTTCAAGAAAGCCCAGAAAACCAGGGAAAGGGGCATTAATGACTCAGTAAGTTGCGCTTTCACCTCTGATTCAGTGCTGCAACACAGTAGTAAAGGGTTCTGTTCTGTTTCTAATGCCATCCTTCCGAAGGGATGTCTGTCTGAAAACACAAATGCTAATCAGCTCTAGCCTTTAAGGGAACTCGTGGCACGCGCTTACTGGAAGAGAGGGTTGAAGTTACTGCAATGGTGAAATTCTTGTGTGCGTACTTTTATTCATCCCAAACCTCTGAAACCTGTGTAGTGGATGTAAGATTCTTCATTTCCTGTGAACAAATGTGGGCAGTATTGCTGTGTGCTTCACATTTAAATACCATTTTATAAAAACTCAGTTGAAATTTGGAGTGATTGTATTCCTTTATTTGTAATGTCCAAAGTATTTCAGGATGCTTCAGTCTGAACTTTCCTCTATAAATATGATTCAGTAGTACGGTGCACAATTTGCAAAACGTATTATATAGTACTTTTATTTCCCATCTAATGAGCATTGAGGGTTTTCAAGTTTAGTTACTGGTTGTTCATAAGACATGAGAGCTCGGTATCCTTTGTATCATTTATCCTCTGAAAGCTGAGCAGAATTTGCCACATAAGCAAAGAGAAGTCTGTTGAATAGAAACTTAAATTAGGTTTTTCAGGTCAGTGTTTTCAAATTACGTCGAAGTTGTAAATGGCTTTAGAAAACATTTTATGTAACAATTCTGAAAGCCCGTGTGACTGTTTTTCTAATTATCTTACTTAGCCTAGTTTTGGAGTAACATTAGCTGTTTCATCACTTTTAGGCTATTTCGAGTATTCTTTGTGGCACCATCAATAAGCCAAGAATTTATAGGGTTCCTTAATCATACAGATTACTCATCACTGCCTGCTCATAACAGAAGCCTGAAATGTTCATTAAAATTGTCTGATGTGAATCAAAAGTTAGTGTAGTTGCAGAATCAAATGACAAGAGAATAGCAGTATACTAGCAAAAAAAAAAAATATTTTTGAATATCTGTTTCAGTGAAAGTGAAACCTCCGGGCTCATATATAGAATCATAGAATATAGATCAGTACTCTGATTTTGTTTAATGTGGAAAATAAAAATAGGCTTCTGGAGTGGAGAATTGGTCTGAGAGGACTGGCAATCATGTCTGAAATGTAATAAAGTGGGGTTTTTGTTTACAGTGAGCTACAGGAACTTGCTGCATGTTCTTGCCTAGTCTATTAGCCTATTTTTAAAATTAGCTAATTATAAATCACTGTTCCAACTTGATCCTTTGCCCTTTGCCTTGTACCTTTCCATCAAAACAATAAAAAAGGTCATCTGCCTGTCTTCAACAAGCTGTTTCATTCCCACAGGCGGTTGTTATGCCATGCTGCTTGAAACATTGAGGCCCAGATTCTCATCTCACCAAGCCTGTTTTTTCACCAGTGCAATTACGATGCTTCCATTGGAGTTGCATGTTGGTGCCAACATAACTGAGAGAAGAATCAAGTCAAGGTCTTGTCACTGTTAAAAGAAGAATATGTATAGCTGAACATACTTCTTGAACATGCATGTGAACTCAGAGCAGTGCTATTAGCCGTTGTCTGCTGGGATGTCGCAAATTGTTAATCTTTGTCTAAAAATATATTAGCTTTTTGTGGAAACAAATTCTGTTTAGAATAACCTATAATCTCTGAAAAACATCCTAAGGAAGGAAGATTAATTGAGACTTGATACCATTTTCATACTGCAGAATTTAAATAAGAAGACGGCGTGAGCTAGTGGATTGAGCTGATCTCTATTTTTGGTTTTGCCACTGGCTTCTTGGCTGACCCACAGCACAAAAAGGCAAAATGACTTGCCTAAGTTTCCCACCCACAAAACAGGAATAATGATGATGTTTTGCTTTTTAAAGTGTAGCGACATCTGTGGATGAAAGGAATTACACAAGAGCTGCTACTACTATTTCTTACCAAGGCTGGGTGAAACAACTGTTCTTTACTGAGCGGCACATAATTTCAGAAGTGTGCGTGCAGTACCCTGGCACTGGCTGAACAGGAGCTTCCTCAACTGAGTTTTGTGGCCTTCATTCTCTGGTCCACAGCCATCACTACATTGGCTTCTAGTGGTGAAAATAGCGATGAATTATAGATGTGACCATTAATAAACATTATTTATCTACACTCACTGCTCCTTGTTCCCTGAAACCTTACAGTTACTCACTGTTGTAAATAACCTGCCAGATGCTGCTGTGGGCAAGCAGTTTTAACTTAGCAACCCTTTCCACAGATATATATACAAGGTATGTGTAAGTATACTTCTAAAAAGCTGTTACATTTTTATTTAAAATGGTTTAAACATTTCCTAACAGAATGTTCCTGGCTCTGTCTCTCTGGAAACAAAATCAGTGCCATTAGCTGTATGCATCAGCCTTCTGGGGTTTCTCTGTTTTAACCTACACAAAATAAACCTGCTGGCTGGGTACCATACTCTCACACTAAAATCTGGGGTGCTCTATTAGGGAGCATTCCTGTTTAGAGCCTGTATCCCTACCTGCATCTCTGTGGAAACTGTAACTACTGATGAAGCACAGACCCGTAACAACTCCTTCAAAGCAAAAATCTTTATTTCTGGGAGTTCAGGACTTGTTTGGCTTTGCTAGTTTAATTTTAGATTTTCTTGATTTCCTAATGATCCTAAACCTTTGGAGTGATGGATGCTGGAATTGAAAATTAGTAGGAAAATAGTGCTTGCTTTTTCCTGAGAATTTTCAGTAAAGCAGGCTGTACTCTGTCATTAAGTCCATAAGATTCTGCAAACAGCGGTATGCCCCAGAAGCTGTAGCATAAACTCAGAAAGTAATATATACATGTGCTTTATATGCTTTTCACAAAGCCCTCTAGTGATTTGCTAGTGCAAGAAGCTTGTCACCTTTTTTTCTGAATTGGAGGGCTGGCAATTTTGAAGCTGTTGTAAGATTTATTGGTAAACTAATGTTATAAATTCACAAACAGAGCTGAAGTTAATCTTTTCCTCATTATGGCAGATTCCTCTGTGTTCTTTCAAACTCCCTTTCCCCACTCTCCCTTTCTTTCCTGCGGACTTTTGGAAACCTGTCAGAGCTGTCTGCCATTGACTGAATGCGTGACTAGGACATCATAGGAGGCCTTCCTTCCACACACATTGTGAACTTGTTTGTAGCTTAAGAGATAGAAGGAATTCCATTTTTAAACCTTGTGCCTGGAATGTATGGCTTGAGGAGGCAGAAATTTTGGTAATCTGAGTGTTGTAAACACGGCTTTGAGTCATATATTTTAATAGAAATGGCAAAAGTAAGCTACCCTTTGGCATTTGGAGAACTTCTTCCACATAGTCTCAGTCATGTCTTTTCTTCCTTTCAACTTTTGCTGGAGATGGCAAAGCATCTGGTACGGTTAACGAAATTACAGTTTTGTTTCGTTTTTTCCAAAATGGAAATGAAACCAGAATACACTCCTGATGGGTCTCTACTTGTATTACTGCATCTGGTTCTGGGCACCCATCCCCAGAAGGATATAAATGTAATTGGAGTGCATTCAGGAAACAAAAAAATGCTGAGAAGTTGTAAAGCTTGATTTGTAAGAGAAAAACTTAAAAAAGAGAAAAGTTAAATATGTACAGTGCATCTGAGTGACAGCAGAGGAGAAGAAGGTTTTGATAACGATCTACAATTTTGAGCAGAGTGAACGCCAACAAAGTGAGAAATTACTCAGGGTAGTTCAAGAAGTATAATTAGATGTAATGAAATGAAACAAACAATATGTAAACTTGAGCCGAATGTTACAGTAAAACAACATGAGCAGTGAGACCTATAGATTTATTATTTCTCTGTATTGAGTTAGCACTGGGGAATCCCAGTCAGGGATCAAGTGCTTCTTTTCCCATAGAAACATGAAACACAAACAAAAGAAATGCAATCTGTCTCTTGAGTAATGAACGAGAAGATTGACTGGGTGGCATATAAGGAATAAACTTAAACTGGTGGGATGTGCAATAGAGACCCTAAAAGGTCTTTCGAGTCTTTTTTCGTCTTACTGGCTGGCTGTTGGACCCTTTAGGATTTTAAGAACGTAACTCTTATTTTGAAGATGCTTGTTATTTTCAGTCACTAATGTATGTAAATATTGCTTTGTATTGGAATAGCCTTACTACACGATTGCCAAGAGCTGGAGAAACTATCCTTGGACATAAGTTTTTCATTGGTTTTGGTGGGAAAGGAGCCAACCAGTGTGTCCAGTCTGCTCGACTTGGGGCCAAGACCTCGCTGATCTGCAAGGTAAGCACTGACTTGCTCTTGGATTACAGCTGAACTAAATGTTCATGCAAATTCTGGTAAAACTTTAGGTGACTTACTGAAAAGTTGGTTTTGTTGGGGTTTTTTTAAACCCTCTCTAATTCCCTTTTCTTTTCCTTGTTTCAGCTATAAATTTAAGCATGGAGGAGGCTGTTTTAAGAGCACTGCCAGAACCAAAGACTTATTGGCTAGAGATCTGGCAGAAATTGCATATAAAGAAAGATTGCAAAACTTAGATTGATGTACCGTGGAAAAGAGAATTGGAGAGAATTTCATATGATCAAAATTCAAGTGATCTTGATTAGCCCCTCCTCTTTATGTTCCCCACAGTTACAACGATCACGGCTTCTTTGGTGACGTTCAGGTTGTAGGCATTATAGTCAATCTGAAATATACTTTGTAGGTGATTAAAAATCAGACACGGACAAGCCGGTAACAAATTTGAGAAGGAATGCAAAACCTTGTGCTTCAAGGGTTAAGTCATTATCTCCTTACTTGAGATTAGGATGAGAGATGTTCATGTCCAAATTCCAGCACCTTTGCATGCTGTGGGATTTTTCTGCATGCTTTTCTGAAACATCTGATACACAGAAGTTCTGAAGACTGGCTCACAGACCGTCAGGCTGATTCAGCTTGGCAGATGTGATGTTCTCACAATGCTTCTCTTTGATTTTCCTCATTAAATGTTGTAAGATTTGAGTGATCATTACTAAGGTTAAGATCAAATTTTCTCTCTCTGTAGCCTTATTGTCTATCTGGTGCTAACTGTATACAGAACTTCAAACTGACTGGATGTACGTTGTTATTGCCATAGCTGGGAAGGATGCTAAATTTGTTGGATCATTGTCTGCGAGGGATTTTTTGTGAAGTACTGGAAACATCTCAAGGAAGCCTTTCTCACTGTTTTTCCAGTCCAATATTTAGGCTAAAGAATGGTAGCTATAAATCTAAATTACACCTGCAAGCATTTCTATGGGTCATTATCACTAGTTATTCTACAGTGTGGGTTTTTTTTTTTATATTGGCAATGTTTGTGCTTCTGTAATATTGTGTATATTTCATCATCTTTGCATTCAAGAACGATCAGATTCAAGTACAAGATGAACTGGCAATAAATTCCCTGCTAACATTTCCTGCTAAATGTTAAAGGGTTTTTTTCCACTGAAAGTGTGAATTTTGTTTTATTTTTTAATGGTCTAGCCTTTGCTCAGTGCATACATGTTTCTGGAAGCATTTGCATTCCTAATAAAATTTAGCAGTTACTATAATTTCTAATTACATTCCAAAATCATATTTACGTTATTTCAGTAAAACCTAGTCTTCTTTCTTTCTTTCTTTCTCTCTGATGTGTATTTATTGAAGAAAAGAAACAGCAGAAAACAACTCTTAATATCTATAAATGTTAACATTTTGTATTTTTTTAATTTTAAAAGTTAATTTTTTTTTTAAATTAAAAATGCACTTTATAGCTTCACAAAATAGTCTCACTTGGTAGCAGTACAGTCTTATAGCTGCATAGGTCAATGGGATGTGTTATAAAGTTTCTTGGTGAATAAACTAAGAGTCAGGCAATAGTGAGCCATTACAATTCTATTATTTTTACTTTAACAAGTCATCTCAAATATTCAGTGGTTCTTAAAGCCAGATTGTCCCTCACACACATGCTCTGTGCTCAGTCCATGCTTATGTTTTGGTCGTAATTTCCAATTTTTTTATCCAATACAGGTGAAACAATTGTTTGCACAGTTCAGGGAATCAAATCAGTTTTAATACTAAAGGGATGTTCTGCTGGAGTGTGGCATCCTCTTACAAGGATTGTAATTTAGACAGAAGGTGTCTTCAACAAGAGTAGAGGCAAATATCTCAGATCAAGTGACAAGGCATTCTTCATACCTCAGAGCTTTAAAACATGAAAGAGAGCAAGTGACTATCTGGCGAGGCTTGAGAGAGGGAGTTTTAAAATGACTTGCAGTTATGTCTAGAGATGCCACGGAATGCTGTGCATTTTAGTGTAAAATCCAGGTACTGAGTTATAGTAGGGGAAATGCAAAGTGTTCTGCTTTCTGCCTGGATGTCTTTGCCTGTGGCCACTGTTACTCTGTTATCGATATATATCACAGCATCAGTCTTAAACTCCTCTCCTCGATTTGCTCCATACAGTAAAACAATGTATTGATGGAATAGTTGCTACTTCAAAAACACAAGATAGACAATTGTTCAGAGAAATGTAAAGGATTACTGTCAAGGACCTAAAGGATCTAAGCAAATAAATTAATTGCTTGTGTTCATATAGGAACTCTGTTGCAGTTCTGAAAAATGCACAGTAGGTTGGAGAGATTCCAAACTCCCCAAACTATTCTTTTTTATTTTGTAGTGGCTATTACGGAAAAAAAAATATGTTAAATGAACATCCTAGATTAAGGTGGAGGAGGGACCTTTGTCTGAAAGACATTGTACATTCTGAAAAAGTCCTGTTTTACATCTGACAAACAATTTGGAATGATCCTCACTGGCACCGATGTCACTAGCCTGATATTGCATATACTAAATTCTATTTAAGCCACAGTTGCCTTTGATTCCTACTTACAAATAGAAAGTGCTATATTACTGTGCTATGTAGTCTTCTCTCTTTAGATGATCGGTAAGCCAAATTTAAGTTAAAAATGCTATAAGCCGGAATCCTCCGTTCACTGTAAGAACACAGCTATATCTCAGATGCAGCCCAGCATATGATGGATATCTTCAATTGTTTTTTCCTTTTATATTAGTCTTATACTTGTCTTTAGTACCTGTTTAATTAAGTCAATTAATTTAAGTCAAAAAGGAGCATATAAATTAAAGAAACAATTGTCAAGAAGTACATGTTTTTGTTGTAATTAATTTTTAGATACAGATGAGTTTGATTCTCTAAGCTGCTGGGATTTTAGCTGCTATGATGCTAGCCAGCTCCCCTAGCTCTACGTGGAAAACATGACAGTAAGCAGAGAAAACCCAGCCTGAAAACTACTGATGTAATTCCACTCATTCTGATATGCAAACTATGTGACCATAATCCTTGTACAAACGGCTATTGTTGTTAAGAGCTCAAGAAAGAAGAAATGCTATTTCAGCACATACAATGTTCTGTGGTCAGCAGACTAAGACATTTGTTTTTCTGTTTACCCAGTAGTCCATGTAGCAGGGTCTGAGCAAAAGCAGAAAATATTTAAAACAGTGTTATATAATTTGACATGATCAGTAAATATGCCTTTAATCTAAAACGAGTCTGATGCCCAATACTCTGTCTTCCTTGGGGGTGAAGCCTGAATGGAAAGATAAGCCCTTCAAATGCACTAGGATTAACTGGGTTGGATGCTGATGAACTAACATGGAAAAAAGTTTCCAGAGGAAAAGAACCTCCGTGGAGACCCCTCTAAGGGCTTCCCTCCAGCACTGAGATGTCTCGCTGAGAGCAAAAGTACCACAGCTGATCTCAGTTGTTATGACAGTTGAACAATAAGGGATGCCTGTCTGTCAGTTATGTAGGACCCAGAGCTGAAGGAAGTTTCAGTTAAGCTTTTGGAAAATAGTTATGAAATATTTTGTTGCTGAAATAACCGAGCAAATCCTGAGATTTGTTGTAGAAGCTTTGTAGCAGAGAGAAGGTGATACCATCAGGCAGAATGCATTCCAGTATTACAACTGCTAGGCTGCAGAGGTGAGCATGGCTCAGGTTTAAATTGCAGATGGCTGCAGTCATCCAGCCTAAAGCAGTTGGACGATTCAGCTTCTGACAACCCGCCCTGTCTGGTGAACTGGGAGTAGTCAAAGATACAGAAATACTTTAATATGCAAACAATGAATAACACAGTAACCAAAGTAAATGTTGTTGGGTTTTTTTTCCGTGTACTAGAGGAATGTTACGTCTGGTTAGACTGTTTTGACCTAGATTGCTGTCCTCCTTTGGTAAAAGACTGGGACCATCCTTAATAATGCTTTAGAAAAATCCCTTATAGAGGTCGTAGGAAATGAAAGTATGTTTTAAAACATGGTTGTGCAATAGGATATGTGGGGGGAAGAAGGTTCATCCGTCTGTGACACTTTGAATTTCAGAATTCTGAATCGCAGGGTTTGGTTGTTGTGTTGAGGCTAGTACTCCGGCCCTCTCTGAGCTTTCTAACAGACTGAGCTCATAATAGGCAGATTTCTAATAGCAGCCCATAGCTGTGCTTCCAGTACACAAATATTTGTGCTTCCAGTAGCTCAAATATGCTGCTAGCTGTTTAGTGCTGTTCTATGAGAAGATGGATCATTAGTTAGGGCTCCTTCTGTAATTCCTTGGTTGTCTAGACTGTGACCAATATCTTGATTTGGCTTCTGATCTGGAAGATTTCTTTTTGTTCTCTTGCAAAAACACTTCCTGTAGCATTGGTCAGGCTTTGATACTGCTCTGATACACAACTTACTCTTACACTATGCATGCTGATGACATAGGCTAAAAGCGATGAATTAAAAGCTGTGTTGGCTTTATAAATATTTTTTTTTCTATTTTGACATTAAGCAAGTTATGCCATTTTTTTCCTCCATATACCTCCTCTCCTTTGCTCAGCTTGTGTAATGTAACAAAAAGAAATGTTTATCAGTCTGAAAAAACAGCAAGCAGAATCCTGTTCAGCTAAAAGAATTAGTGGAGCTGAAATTACAAGTTCTTTAATGTGCTTTTAGAAAAACAATAGATCATAGCTTGAGTCCCTAACTCAACTTGATCTGCTGTTGCTACGTAAAGCAAACAAAAAATGGGGAATTTGTAAACAGTACATTTAGTACTAAGAATTATAGAAATCAGCAATGCCATGTTTATTATCACTTTCTAGACCTAACTAGAGTTTGATATTCTTCCGCCAAGGAAACTTGAGGTAGAAAATTCAAAATATGAACTGCACTTAAGAAGGACACCAGAGTTGCTATAAATGCCTTCAGTGTGAAGCTGAATAATTCAGTGCACTTCCAGATTTTACAATCCCTAGAAAGCTTCAGTGTGAAGGGAACAGAGTGATTGTAAGAGAATGAAACTTGAATGTAGCAGCATGGGTATACAGGGGAGTTTTGTAACAGAGGAGGAGAAAACCACAGAACACTATTCCTATTGTTTGTTAATACTAGCAATACATTTTTACTATTATTTATGGGTTTGTTATTTGTTTATTGATAAGGAAAAGTGCTGCAAAACAGAAAGTGTTGTATTCAAATTACTTTAGAGTGTTCTGTTGTCTAAAGATGATCTATCTGTCCTCTCACCTTCCTGTACAGAAAACCTGTCCTTTTCTCTTTTGTGTAGGTTGGAAAGGATTCCTTTGGCAATGATTATATTCAAAATTTGAAGAAGAATGGTATTTCTACAGGTAAAATTTGACTTTAGAGAAACCTTTTGTATTATTTTTAAGCTTTAAAAATTGCTAGTGGAGAGTTTCTTATTTTATTGCCTAATTGGATATGTTTTATCATTCAGAACTCTGAATAATTGTTTTGACACAGCTGGCAGGAATTAGTGAATATGAGTGAGAATATTGGGACTTCTGAAATCAGCTGTACCACTGAAAATAAAATGCAATGTTATTACCTCTAAATCTCAGATGATTAAATCAGTGCAAGCCGCCTGAAGATAACTTGGTGTTATGCAATTGTTTAGGCTGGCCTTAATGATGGTAATGCCTGGTGAGAAATTGAAAAATCCAGTCTGATTATTCGTTCTCGATTTCACATTGGGAGGAGAGAGAGAGTGGAAATGCATTTATCAACTCGGTACATTTCACCTCTATTTTGTGAAATGACACGTGCAGTCATTTTAGAGCCTGCAGCCGATGTTTGTTGACACACATATACACAAAAAATCAATGTTAAAAGGCTTTCAGAAAAAAGGAAAATTAAGCATTCACGATATTCTAGTATCTTTGCACCTTTATAACCCTAATTCTCTCCCTTGTGTAAATGTATTACTGTGTGCTGCTAACTACACAATCACATTTTTGTCTACATGACTCTTCTCCTTCAGGGTGGACAAGGATGGACAGATGCAATCACTAAGTGGCAATTCAGTTTTCTGTTTATCTTTTCTGTTTAATGTGCAGCCACAAGCTTCATTTACTGCATTATTCAAATTCTGCTTTAAAAACAGAACTATCAGTATGTATTTTGTGGGGTTTTTAATTATGATTATCACTATAGCATCTAAATATTTCACAAATGTGTATATAGGTTTATTCATTGCATATCTTCCAGCTTACGCAAGGAGCCAGGCAAGAATACCACAAAAACAGTGTCTGTTAGTGTACAGTTCTAAATCTCTCCAAAGCATGCCTACCTCGTGAATAAAAGCCTTTGATCGTGTAAATAAGGCTATTGTAATGCATAGCACTTAATGAAAATATATATTCCACAAGGAACCTTAAATCTCATGTTTTCTGATTTAAATGATTGATCTTGCAATCTTAACATAAATTTTTAAATAGTTATTACAACAGCAGAAGAAAAGTGTAGGAAAAAAAAAATTTAGAAATTCCTTCATATTGCACTTCATTGATACCTAGATAAGATCAGTCAAAGGATTGGAACATTTAGGTACCAATTTCTGATGATTGAGTTAAAAATATCCCAGAATGGTGTTAGATTGTCACCCTCTACGTTGATCAGCCCTGGAGGAAGATAGAATGTACTACTAGTGAGTCTGGTCTGAGATCCTAGCTTGCATTCCAAGATTTGGATACAAGGGTGATTCAGTGTGCACAGACCTTTTTGCTTAGGACCATCTTATTTTCCTGGCTTTTCCTCTCAGTTTAATCTTTGTCTAGCCTATCCCTATTGTTATACATAAGGATACTGGATACATGGTGAAAATTCTTGCCGTAATGCCAGTTCTGCCAACTTTCGTATTTTGGACCCTTGTCATATGGCTTCTTTATTTACATTGCTCTTCCATTTCCTAACATACCACCTTACTCCTTTTCTTTCCAATTCCAGTCTGTTTCGTAATTTTCCCCATTCCCAAGTCTTTCTGTCTTCCACAACCTATCAGCCACCAGTGCTTCTCAGACCATTTAGACCTTTACTGATGTGTTGCTCCCTCTCTCACATTTGAGCTGGGAAGCTTGCTGCTCATGCTGCTTATTTTCTGCAGGTAGATCATTGAGAGCGCAGAAGACATAAGTTCTCTGCTTTCAATTCCAGTGTGCAGACCTAGCTCATGGTGAAAAGAAGCTATAATCGCAAGTAAAGTTCTGCTCTGACCCTTGTAACTCTGAACTAGATAAGGGTACCTCCAGGGCGAGTACCTTCAATACTTCAGCAAAACTAAATGAGCATGATGTTAAGTGTTTTTCCAGCCTTGCTCAAATTTGAGCACATTTTTAAATTGGTCACAAAAGGCTCATCTTCAGAAAGAAGCTAACCTTTGCTCAGCGTCAAGTCCATGTTCTAGAACGTCAGAACACCATAGCTTCTTAAACAAAAGATCACCAGAATTTGCCTCAAATAAAAGAGCAGATTTTTCTTGAATACAGTTCTGGGGAAAAAAAAAACCTCAACTTTTCTGACGTTTTCTGAAACAGTTCTACCTAAAAAACCCCACCTGTCGAGAACGTTTCGGACCACTGGTTAGTATTTGACAAATTTGCTGACAGCTGAAAACAGGTCCTTCTCGTAGTAAATATGGAACAATCTTTGAAATAGGCAGTGCTGGCAGCCTCACTTCCAGTTAATTTCTCTGAATAATAATGCAAAGAGGAAACATATAGCCTCACCACTGCCTCCATAGCGCATGTTAATATTACTGCTGAAATGCAAATCTACAGAGAATTAAATGCTATGTTATTTTAATATTTTAGTTTTCTCCAGCCTTGACTCTATTGTTTCATTGGATAAAAGAAATACTTCCATGTAGGAGTAGAGTGCCTGAGAAGACTGTATAAATAACATTCTTTCTCTAAAGCAGAGACGTAGCCAAATTAAAGAATGTTGGACTTGCATTTCTGTTTTGTGGGTGTAAATTAACACTTTTTGTTGTTGTTAGCTTCTCTGGCATTGTTGCACATGAAAGAGTAATTAGCATTTTTAAATTGCTGGAGGTTATGGGTTCATTTTAGATTTAATTCAATTAAACTGCATTCATGCTATTGGTTGAAAATAATGTATTGAACTAATGCATGCTGTAACTTTTCCCTTTCTTAGCGTTTGTAGGTCAGACTACAGATGCTGCTACTGGAACTGCTTCAATAATTGTCAACAGTGAAGGTACATATTTCTACTCTGAATTGTCCTCTTTGTTCTGCCTCTGCAGCCATAGAAGAAACCTTTGCCTTGTGACTGCGAATTGTGGGATTATTTTTGTACATCTTTCATTTTTTTCAATATCTTATTCACACTTCATTGCACTTTTATTACAAGCAATGTTGTAGCATGAGATGCCTAAAAGCAGCAGAATCAGATGCTTAGATTAGCAGTGTGATAGCCATAATTCAATCAGCCAGCTGATCTATCTACTTTTACTTTGGCCAGAACACACAGTGTAGCAGAAGGTTAAAACTCTCCTTTTCATCGCAACTTACCCAGCACTTTTACTATGAGGAAAGGTTTTGCCTCCTCAGCATGCTAAGTGAGTCATTATGCCCTGAATGAGGAAAAGGAATTGTCCTTAGTATAAGTAGAAATATTTATGTTGATCTTGTAGTATTACCACAATTCTTGATCCCAAGTTGCATCTGCAGTGATGAATACATAGTGAAGTGCTGCATTTGTTTTTTTCTGTGTTAATTTTCCTTTGCCTGTGCCTTTGCTCTAATATTGCAGAGGGAGAGGAAAGCAAGGTTTGGCTCATTTTCATATTCTTCTTCAAGATTGCTACGTTATCCTCTGAAAACTTTCTGTTTATCTTTTCCTTAAGCGAGTTGTGCTATTGAGAACTCTTAGGAGAAGTATGTCTGTCTGGATCCAAATGTAGAGGTCAGGACCGATAATGTTTATGCAAACATAATGAATTAAGTGTGATGGGATTAGTTCACTTTTGGTGCAGCTAAGAGCCTTCATTTGAACAGTTACTACAGCTTGGCTGACATACCAACTTAACAAGCTCCTGTGTAACCTGATGGTAGTACATTGGACTACAGCTGAAAATGGGAAAGGAAACATGACTTTTCACTCCAGGAGCAAACCTGGGAAGGAACTGTGACTAAAGGCAAGTCTACACAGGAACATTCAGGAAGGTTAGGCAAATTAGTTAGAGATGTGAGTTTAATATTCCCTAAGTAAGATCAATCAAAACTGTGCATGAGAGCTCTAATTCAGAAATAAGGTACCTCTAATACATTGAATACGCTGGACACCTGCCTGTTACTTCAACCTCCTTCTCTTGGTTTGGGTCAGCAGGTAAATTACCACAATAACTCTTAAGAGCTTCTTTCTTATGCCATTTACTGTCACTACTCTGGCCATTGTAAAAGGGAGAGACAGTGAGAATCCAGTAGCCCACTCGCAGGCCTCACTCTTTTGTACACGTAACCATGTTTTACACTGGACTTGATAGGTAGGATAGTTAATAAGAAGCAGTCTTACTACTTCCCAATTCATATGCATAGCCAACTAAGATAAACCTGGTCTAAACTGGAATGAACAGAGGAGGACCCGTTAAAATTGAATTTTTCTGAATGATAAGGAACAAAACCTTGTGGATCTAAAACCTTTATAAGCACCAGGAAAGGGAAACTGATTGTTCAGTGCCATGAGGTTCACAGTGTTTGTGTCAGTGTGAAGGGTCTCTGATAGTCTTTTGATTAATGTAGTGAGATGAATAATGCCATAATGAATAATGTCATACAGTTTGTTTCTTTCAGAAACTGAAAAAAAATCCTGAATTAAGTTACCGCTGGCCTCAGATTTCATTTGAAATCTAGTCGAAGAGCAAACCTGGTCAGAACTATGCTATAAAGCACACAGATGCACAGAATTGGTAATGGTTCTGGTTGTTACTTCTCTCTAAAACCATCTGGCGCCTGAATTGAGTAAATTGCAATAAAATAGCAGTACTTAATGTGCTTTGCTATTGCAAGAGACACTTTTTTTTTTTTTTCCTGTAGAAACCTGGCTGATTTGACCTAAACAGGTTTTGCAGCTCTTTTCAAAGGGCTTGTCTACACATGCATGTTTTACCACAGTAGTTGTGCTGGCATAGCTGAAACACCACAGCGTTCAGTGCACTGATGTAAAGCAGTTTCTGCTAGTTCAAATTATACCTAAAAGGGAAGCATTTGAAGTTGGGGGTGGTGATGGTGTTTTGTGCTAAGACAATGAGGGACAAATTAAAACCATATGTATCATCTCTTTAAATCGCCGAGTTTTGATTGCTGTATTTTCAAACACACAACCTGCGTTTCATCTTACCAATTCTTTACAAGTACCAATACTTAGGAAAAATACCAACTCCAAGCAACGGAGTAAAATCACAGGCAGAAGTAGGAGAGGTACTCAAGTAGAGGGAGCAGGATATGATGGATGACTCAAGGCAGAGGAAAAAAAGGCAGTAGACGGAAGAATCAGAGGAGGCTCCAAAGTAAACTTTCCCTCGTATTACCTGTGTCTGTCTAGCTGGTGCTGCTGAATTTCTGGGAAGATTTTTGCTGGCTGCTGAATTTCACAGCTGTAGCTCATCCATTATTGTAATGGGCAAAATACTAAAAATTTGAAAATTATCAGGCACATTTGATATTCTCAAAGTTGCATTGTATTCTGGGACAATACAGTGTCATTTCAGTAAAAGATAGAGAGGTTAAATCCCTGCTTTAATGCAAAATGGTGGAGAGATGTTTAATAAGTTTGTAGCGCTGCACTGTAAAACGTGCAGCCCAGGGATGCTGCAGAAGTTCCCTCTGGGCTGGTCTTAGAAGTCTGTGCAGAAATCTTTTTCTGGAACCTCGCATTCCTTTTAGTTATTCTCTTCTATGCGACTGCCTCTTCGGATAGGTTTTGACTAAACACAAGCTTCAGTTTACCGGGACACTCTACACTTCAAATCTGTACTGTGTCGCTTAAGGAGAAAAGCTGGTACATCCAGCTGCTTTTCTTAACACGTTTTCTTTGAGGTGCATCGCACCACTTTGACCCCCAGCTTCTGTTTCCCCTTCAGCCTGTCGCCTTCCCACTAGCACACCGTATGCTAACAGCGTGCTGTTGAATGGTAAGAAATCCACAAAGTGGTGATGTGTGACTCTTACATACACACATAGGGAGGAAAAAAACCTCTTTATGGATAATTTTTAACATGATTGCCTGTGAAGTTTATTGCACTTTGTCCATGTCCAGTGCTGACTGTTGACAGCGCCATTAAGCTGGGCTGACTGGACCGGTAGTTTGAACCAGTCTGGCAACTTCCGTGTTCATAGGAAAAATTCAGTGGAAAGACAACAGAGGTTGGCAGGTCATGATTAAAGTGCTCTTGATTATTGCAAGTTAGGACTTACAGCTCACCTAACAGAGAACACTGCGAGATAACCCGCACTTGAGATAGGCATTGTGCTGACTTTACGATAAAGTTATTAATCATTCATGGACAGTGAATAGGCATTATTTTGTGAGTGTACCTTCAATACCAAAGCACTACTAGTATAAAACATTCAAAATATATATTTAGATAAAGCTAAATAAACGAGGCAAACTTAGAATACACTTGCCAGCTTGTTTGAATTACACTTTCCAAAGAGAAAATCTTTGTTTTGAATCTTCAGGGTTATGACAAAATGTCACCTGAATGTTCACAGAATTTCTATATATTGACATTCATCATGAAGTGAATGTTTTGTGTAAAAAACTATTCAATGTTCCTACCAAGTAGTTGCAGAGAAGTTATGATACCGTGACACACCCAAAACTTGCCCTCATATTCATGAACTGCGTGATTTGGCAGCAAATATTTTTCTTGTAATGTTCTTTTCTGGTCACAAATATAATCTTTTGCCCTATGAATTATTATGCAGAAGCTCTGCAGCTATTGTTATAATTTCATTGTTTGAGATTTTGGTGAGTTCTAAGCACTACTGATGGCTTTTAGGCTCGTCATCCCACTTTAAAAAGTGAGGGTTATTGCACTGTGGTGTTTACTGGTTTGCCTTTGAATTTTCTGCTGGCATTTCTCATCTGGTGGTGTCTATAAAATGACACTTGTAAAAAAATCTAGCTTGACTTACCCATCGTTCTAAGAAGTGACAGTAGCAGGTTTAGGAGCCCAACTGAGGACAGTATTTACATAGGCAGCATTCACTCTGTTTTAAATATTGATTGGACCCAATCCCCATCTGGTGTAAGCTTGCACAAGTTTATCAGCTCCATTTAGCTGTTCTAGCTTACAGCAACTGTGAATGTGGCCCTTGATATTTTAGCTGATGTCTGCAAAACTTAAAATTATATAGATGCTCCCATCAAAACTGAGAATTTTTAGTCTAAGTAATGGTGTGTTAGAATTAACTGTAATGCAGTAAGTCTATTTTTCTCATTCTTAGTGTGGGCAACATTTTACCTCACTTGAGCTGTTTCAAAGTTAGGTGTGCAGCTTAAGGCTTCACCTAGAGTTAACGGAGATTCCTAAGCATTCCCAGACAGCAGTTTATCGCCTCCTCAGACAGATATCTAAGATTTATAAGATTAAAAAACCCTCTGAAAATATTTATCTGTCCTCCTTGTTGAAGGAACAAATTTGTTTTCTTACAATTTTCTAGAATGTAGAATTTTTTTTTAAAACTTTAAAAATTAATTAATGTTGGACAAGATGAATCCCACCCCTCTTTGCCATCTGTCTTTAACTCTGTTGTCCCTGGTGCTGATTTCCCTGGCAAGAAATCGTTGCTTTCAACAAAATGGTTGCTGGTAATACAAAATTCTGATATTAATTGTGAGTGCATGGGTCCAGATTCTGCTTTCATGCATGCTGGTGTAAGTTTGTGGTGACTGCTGTCATTCACAGTTAGTGTGGAATATGTAGCAAATAACAGGACGTGGCTTCTTCTCCAGAGCTTGGGTTGAGCCCACCCGGACTGTTGCACCGCAGTAGGTTCTGTATTTCCCTGGCAGGTTTGAAAGCAAACTTTAAGTCCCTGACCTTTTGTAGTTACAAAGAAAAGCTTCTGACTGTTATCCAGTGCAGCACACTCTACCTTGAATTTGCACATATGGGTTTAAGCAAACAGCCTTCCTTATCGCCTTGGGCCATTAGCTCTGAAGTCTAATAATAAGATACATGTCAGTACAGCTAAATAGTTCAGCAAGATAATGCAGCAAGACATGCGGATAAAGTCTGAGATTCTAGGTAGCACAGAGTCCAGGCAGAAATTAAATATATTTTTGTTCCACTGATTCCCTGCCTTTTACTGTTAGCGCTGCTGCACCCTATAAGCTTTCAAAATATATGCTTGGCAAAATAGGTGCAATTTGCCTTTGAACGTTTCCTCAACAGGATTCAGTTATCTTTGATAGCATTTACTTGTTGCAGAAGGTTTTTTGATTTTTTTTTTTTTTAATCCGAGATGCCCATCATTGTCTGTTGAAAAGCAGGGCGTTGGCTTTAAATGCTGAGGTTTTGCTTTTCATATGCAGCTGTTCTGTACCAAACCATTGACAGCAGAATTGCTTTGGAAAGCTTGAGCCCCTCCCTCTGAGATCACTATATTATTCTTTCCATTGTCCTGCTTTCTTTTCAGAACATATTTAGGGAGACAAGCTTTGCACGTTTCTTATTCAAAGGACTTTGAAGTCGCATTCAACAAAAATAATGTATTTAAAAACATAAATATTTATTTGCAGAGTAATTCAGGTCATTACAGAATTGGTAGCCTTTAATGATTGGCAGTCCTTAAAGGAATCTTCAGCGGGGGCGGGCTGAGCCTGTAAATCAAGGAACAACTGACTTATTGAATTTAATACCTGAGTGATTAATAATAAATTTTAATTTGAAGGCACCCATGCCTGAAGGTCTCTAGGTGTTGTAACAGAGATTAAAAAAAGAAAGAATGAAAGAAAGAAACTGCAATAAAAGAGAGCAACTTGCATGTCTGAAGAAAAACAAAAGAGTATTTGAAACCTTCGTACATGAACCTCCTCACCTAACTGTAAAGCAAACTACAAGAATGAGAAGGATCTTAGACGTGCTTTGAGATACTGCTGCGCTTCCGCACGTACGGCTTTGCTTAGACCAGTCTACTGGCCAGCTTAAAGTGCAGACAAATCTGTCACCCACTTTTTTACTCACTTCTGATAAAGCTTTCCTTAGGTACTGGCATTACCTTTCTGGGTTTTAGTGGCAAGCTGATTCTGGTTTTCATGAGGTTAGGAACCCTAACTTGATGTGTTGCAGGTAAAGGGAGCAAGTGTGTTTCTCTGAAATCTAAAGAACATGCATAATTTTCATAGCTCTTTGACATGTCTGCTATTTCCAGCTGATGGGAAAATTAAAATTTTTATGGCGATTTTGTCATAATCACATTGATACTTTTCTCTTTGAGTGCTACTGGAATATTTCAGGAAAATGTGGATGTCAGCCTTAGTGTATGTCCCCCATCTCCCCTATGACTAGTACAGTGCTTCTTTAAAGTTAAGCGAAAACATCAAAATAAGATTGGGGAAAGCCCATACATGACTTTTCCCAAAGAAATGTATAGTGCATTTGTTGTGCACTGTGGCATTCATTAGTCTGTTGAACTTTCTGATGATCTTCTGAAATCCTTGGATATTTGAAAATGCCAGCAATGCATGCATTTTTAGTGGGATTTTTTGGAAAGGAAATTGAAATCCTCATCTGAAATGTATTGGAGAAAAGCAAGGAACTGTTTTACATACTTTATTGCAAAAGTTAATGCAAAAACCACAATATCTTCTCTTTAGGACAGAATGTTATTGTCATAGTCCCAGGAGCCAATCTGCTTTTAAATTTCGAAGACCTGAAGAGAGCTTCTGATGTCATCTGTAAAGCCAAAGTGGTGGTTTGCCAGCTAGAAATAACTCCTGCTGTTTCTCTTGAAGCTCTGAAAATGGCACGTGCCAGTGGAGGTAATTTAACATAAGCTATTCTGTCTCCCTCATTTATCTTGCATGAAAAATATTCTTTATCTTGCTTTCTAAATAAAGATCCTGTAGTCTATTCTGGTTTCTGTCATACTAGTCTTATTTAGAAATGAAACAATAGCCAACGAATTCATGCTTATGCTAATGAAAACTGAATTCAGTTTTTAAATATTGCAGTGTTTATCTTGAGTGGCAAATCAACCCATACCCTTATAATCTCGCCGGATATGTCTGATGCTGCTTTTTCTTCTATTTTCATGCTGTGATTAAATACAGTATAATGTTGTCAGGTCAGGAGCTATGGGCCTGACTCTGGTATTATTCCAGAGCAGAACAAACACAATGAATGCAAGTCAATAAAGTTCCACACACGATAAGGTGAATGAAATGATCTCAAAACCAGACCTATACCCTTGTTCTCCTACCATAGCAGTAGGTATGGCTGTGGTTTTCTATATAGAAGTTAACATCTTTAAAGTAAAAAAAAAATGTTTTTTCTTCTAAACCAAAATTCTTAGTGTGACGTGGCATGCTGCCATTGAATAGCCTGTGAAATTACTAGTAAATTGTTACTGTGCTGTACTTTTAATGTAGGCCATTGTTCCTTCAGTGTAGTATACACGTAGATAAAAGCTGACGTTTTGCTTGAACAGGATGGGGTTTCACTGCCGACATGACGTTTTTGTTGTTTAAAGGCCAGTCATGCTTTCAGTTACTCAAGCACACTGTGTTTGAACACCAAGTAAATAATTATGCAAGTGAGGCATCTGTATGAGATTAAAAATATGTTCTTGTCTATCCGGAAGGTGAGACTGGGAGGGGACAGCTCATAGTATGGTCAATCATGCAGCAGGTCAGGGATGGAACTGGGATCAGAACTAGCTGATTCCTTGCAGCTGGGCCCAGGCTTGCTCCAATAGATCATAGCACATTGGGATTGTTGACTCTTCAATCCTTCTTCTGCACCGAGATCTGCTGTGCACCTGCCGTGATCACTAGTGTTCACTCAGTAGTGAAAGCATCAGATGTATCAGAACTTTATGGGCCGTGTTGATGTATTTTGTGCTAATTTAAGCAGCTATGTTAGGTGCAAGGCTGGGAGAGAACGGCTCTGAAACTGTGGTGGTAATACTCATAAACTCTGTAAACAGAACTGTGCATGGGGAAATTTATTTTGGCATCTGCTTGAACTGTCAAAACTGGATTCGTGCAAATCTAAAAATTAAAAGCTTTAGAAATCTGAGTAGCACCTGGAATGCTTAAAATATATGGGGAGATGGAACAGAGCTTACTGTATTTTTTCATTATGTTTTATGAAAATGGATACAAGCATTCTTAATCTAGGAGTTAATGAAATGTAGTTGAATCATGAGTCAATATCCATGACTTATTTTGTCTACTTCTAACTCTATGCATAGTTATGGTAAAGTTGCTTTTGTCACCTTCATATGGCAAGATGCCAGCCTGTGACAGAAGAAAATATAGTATTTTTTTAAAGGCAAACCTGATACACAGAACAGACACGCGAGCATTTAGCAGCTGTAGACAGAACACTATATTGAGAAAAGACAGCAGTTAACTGTGGGCCAGCTATAGTTGTGCGCTGTCAGGCTGCTGCTGTCGTATCAGGAAAGCTTTGGTTGCTTCTGGTTTAAACCACTAGGCTGCGCATGTTCAAATGTCATGTGCAGTCAAATCTAAGTAAACAGCTGCGTTTGTAGCACTGTAAAAATCTATCCTTAGCCAACTGTAAATTGTTAATGCAATTTCCCTTCTTTTAGCCTGCAATACCCTCATGTATAATGCAGTACTGCATGTTAGTATGTGCATGAGACTATTTTTGTTTAAAACAGATGCATACGCAGATGCCTGAAACCTCTGTTTCAAAGGTTTTTTGCTTGTTTTTCTTCATTCTTACTGAAAGAAATAATAAGATGGAGAAAGAATGTGGACACACAGGTAAAAACCCTTTGCTTCTGTTCAGGGAACATCACCTGCACCTGTAAGCTAGAGAGGGACATCTCATGTTCTGACATCCTCTCCTTGTGTCACTGATTATTAAAGATCTTGTGACAATCTTGGGAAGAAGGAAGGAAGGGGGGAAGGGAAGGGAAAGAAAAAAAAATGGAAAGAGGGAGGAAGGAGCATGGATGCCGCATCCCTAGAAGTGTTCAAGACCAGGTTGGATGAGGCTTTGAGCAACCTGGTGTAGTGGAAGATGTCCCTGCCCATGGCAGGGGATTGGAACTAGATGATCTTTAAGGTCCCTTCCAACCCAAATCATTCTATGATTCTATGATACTTAAAAGAAGTGAGTATACATTGCAGTGGAAATCTGACTGTAAAATTCTAGGGGTTTAGCGGCCACATCTTGTAAAGGTGCTGCTGCTTGCACGAGGGGTACCACTTCATTGATGGGTAAAATGTTACTGTATATCAAAGTCTGTAAAGCAGTTTTGGGGCTTCTGTAATAACAAGTTCTATAAAAAAATTCTAATAATGTCTAGCCTATTAACATTGCAGCGAAGAATGAAAATGTATCATAACCCAGGCTAGAAGCAGCCTCAGTTCTCAAGGTTGCATGTCACTTGCAAGTAAAGGGTCTTTCAGGTGTTTCAACTTTCTAATCTTGGGCTCCAGTTTTCATAGAATCATAGAATGGTTAGGGTTGGAAGGGACCTCAAAGATCATCTAGTTCCAACCCCCCTGCCATGGGCAGGGAAATCCTCCCACTACACCAGGTTGCCCAAAGCCTCATCCAACCTGGCCTTGAACACTTCCAGGGATGGGGCATCCACAACTTCTCTGGGCAACCTGTGCCAGTGCCTTACCACCCTCTGAGTGAAAAATTTCTTCCTTATATCTAATCTAAATCTCCCCTCTTTCAGTTTAAATCCATTGCCCCGTCACTACACGCTCTTGTAAAAAGTCCCTCTCCAGCTTTCCTGTAGGCCCCCTTTAAGTACTGGAAGGCTGCTATAAGATCACGCCGGAGCCTTCTCTTCTCCAGGCTGAACAGCCCCAACTCTCTCAGCCTGTCTTCATAGCAGAGATGTTCCAGCCCTCGGATCATCTTCATGGCCCTCCTCTGGACCCGCTCCAGCAGCTCCATGTCCTTCTTGTGCTGGGGACTCCAGAGCTGAACACAGTATTCCAGGTGGGGTCTCACGAGAGCAGAGCAGAAGGGCAGAATCACCTCCCTTGACCTGCTGGCCACACTTTTTTTGATACAGCCCAGGATACTGTTGGCTTTCTGGGCTGCCAGCGCACATTGCCGGCTCATGTTGAGCTTCTCATCCACCAGCACTCCCAAATCCTTTTCCTCAGGGCTGCTCTCAATCCATTCTCCACCCAGCCTGTACTTGTGCTTGGGATTGTCCTGACCCATCTGCAGGACCTTGCACTTGGCCTTGTTGAACTTCATGAGGTTCTCACAGGCCCACCTCTCCAGCCTGTCAAGGTCCCTCTGGATGGCTCATAACAGCTGTTTGTCTGTGATTAAATTCTTTGTAAAATTTCTGCCAAAGTATAGTGGCTGCAGAAACCAAGCAACAGAAGAATGCCTCTCATCCTGCCCCATTTTAAAGTATGAATACTGGCTACCTTAAAATTTACCCAAGTCTTGATAGCAAGGGAGCTTTCTTCTAAAGATAAGCCTGATTCTTACTGTAGTATCTGCCTTTGGAAAATAACTACCTTTCACATAGACTTGAGAAATTGTTAGAGCTTCACAGCTAGCTTCCCCTGACAGTCTGTCCGCATAGACAGTTGTTGATTTGGGCAGTGTGACTTTCAGTGTAATTCCTGAATGTGGTTTCACGCAACTTCTTTTATACCGTTAAAGATCTTTGGTAGGCCCAGGAAGTGCAGAGCAGGAGCTTGTTTGATTTGAATACAGAAGAGACAAAGCTGAACAGGAATGCTGGGGAGGGAGAGTAGGGATTTGTAGGAGGGATTTACTTGATTTTGGGGGTGTCAGAGGAAGAAGGAAGAGAGAAACTGAGAGAGTAGCAAAATCAGAACAGAGAATAGGATTTGTTGAGTGGGGATTGGAATATGGAGATAGAGTCCGGGAGTAGGCTGTGGGTGCTGGAAGTGGGGGAAAAGAAAGCATAGGAGAAGGGGTGTAAAGAGGTACGATGTGATGAAAGCTGAGTGAAAAAGGTTACTATTGGATAGTGCCAATGGAAGGAGGCATGAAGAATGGAAACTACGTGATGAGAATGTATCTTGTTGAAGGGAGAGAAGGAGTTTGAGCAGAAAATAATTCGGTGTTCCTCAGGGGGACCAAGCAGATTACCCTGTTCACAAGCTATGTTCTTCTTCACAGCCTGAAAGAGAATCTTAGAGTCCCCCTATTTGCCCCCTGCTCAGCAGATATTAAATATGGAAGAAAGCTAATAGTAATGTATTACACCCTGTTCCTGATGAGTCTGTATTTCTTAAAACTCAAATTGGAACATTTCCAGTACTGCTCCTGACCCATGTATATGCCCATATGATACCACATGACAGAGTTTGTTTTCTAAGAGGTACTGTTTGTTTGTTTTACCTAGGAAAGTATACCTTAAAGATTTGTGTTTAAAAAAACTTTATTAGGGTTGCAATTCAGAAAATAGGAAATGTAAGAGTTAAGGTTGCCCGTGAATTCTGCATACGAATTATGTTGCAGTCTTTAATTATGTGATCACATGCTGTTTTTCAGTGGTATGTGATCATATAATTAAAGAGTTTATTATAATACATACTGTATTGTAATAATATAAGGGAGCGAAATTAAGATTTCATTGGAAATCCTAATCCTGGCATTTTCTGACTTCTGAGTAAATGTCTTTGTTGCTTTAATACTCTTTTTAACGAGGCGGGTAGAGAGGCACGATAAAGTTGTACAGTCAAAGGCTTAAACTTTCAGAGTGTTAATCAAAAAGGCCATCTACTAAACTTCTTCCTGCTCAGATTTTAGAAGTCTCTGTGCTTCTTTCTCTTTTAGGGCATTTACTGAGGTTCAGAAGTGTTTGAGGTGTCTGAATACTATGTGCTGTAGCCTAGGGTCTTAATATGTTATTAAGACTGAAAATTTAGGCATCCAATTTGGAAGATTTGATCACTTACTATAAGGAATATTTCTAAAGTAAGAGAATGTGCTTTATATAAAAATGATGGCCTTGTGGTTAAGACACAGAAGTATTAATCATAAAATTGGCAAAGTGAGAAACCAAGTCTGCAGACTTCCTGTGTTAACAGTGAGTAAGTCACTTACGCTGTCCTCATGACAAACCTTTTCTGCTGTTACACAGGGCCTTAGGCTACAGTTTAAGGTTAGGTTAGCTAACATATTGTACCACGTGTTAAATTTAGGTCTAGCTCTGCCAGATAGCATATTAAAAATATACCGTGCCTTGTCTACACTACAGTTTTATAATGTGGCAGTTTGAACAAGTTAGGTAACACATTCAGAAGTACGTTTAAGTCCTTGCCTGGACATGCCCTTCGTTACTCCATACCCCTGTTTCTTCATGTACAGAACACAGATAGCAACACTGAAAAATTTCTAGAACTAAGTCAGTTCTTGTAAAACTTATTAAAATCGTGGAAGAAGAATCATTGGTTAAACAAATTGCATTACTGTCTAAGGCTTTTTTCCCCCTTTTTTTAATATAATTTCTTGGTTATTTTTTCTGTTAGTCTTCTGTCATGTTCCCATCATGACAGGTGCCTGCACATGAATTAGAAAGGAACTTTAATATAATAAAACTTTTAGCAGTTCTATAAAACAAGGACACAGAAACTGAGAGCCATGTGTGTGTTAATAATAAACATTGGGGGCTGTGGATTAACCGCAATGGTGTTTCAGGTGATGGTTTATGAATCTAAAACACTAAACACTAGAGATTTAGACTTTTTTTTTTTTTTTTTCCCAGTAAAGACACTATTTAATCCAGCTCCAGCCCTTGCTGACCTAGATCCACAATTTTATACCCATTCTGATATCTTCTGCTGCAATGAAACTGAGGTAATGGTCCTATGTCATGTTAAAGAAGGGGTTTGAAACAGTGAAATTTCGGAGGGATTCTATTCTCAGAAATGCAGCATAGGGAGCAGGAAAACTGAGGCATGCTCCTCTTACATAGGACTTTTGAAGGTGGCAAGTTTGATCCCTGACCTAAAAAGTAAAGAGGAGTATTCTAGAATGCATTTAGATTGCACTCCAAATTAAATTGTTTGCACCAGGAAGGTTGTGTCCAACTTTCCTTACAAGTAGATGAGTAAAACAAATCCATAAAAGGACACTTTTAAAATGTTATCACTGAGTGGTAAATATTAAAATAGATCCTTGCCCTCGTTCTGTGATCCCTTGATGTGATTAGCAGGA